ATTAATTGTGATGGTAGTGTTAATACTGGTGTTGATATCAAGGTCGTAAATAAATCAGTCCAGGTGTCTTAAAAAGCCGTGCCAGGTGTTTAGTACGCCCTGCATTGATTCATGTCCGGCCACGGCCGGAGATGAAGCACGTCATGTGTCTGAGAAAGCCCCGCAGTGATTCTTCTCTGGTCGTAAATGAATCAGTCCAGGAGTCTGAGTTCGCACTGTGATGATTCTTTCCTGGCTGGAAATGAGTCAGTCCAGGTGTCGCAGTAAGCCCTGTGCGAACTCTCGCAAAAGAATATTAATTTTGACTTGAATATCGAGATGAAAACTCATATTTATTCTTATACTAATGGTACTAGTACTAATGTGTTGATTCGTCCTGGATTGACTCATGTCCGTTCGGAAATGAGTCAATCCAGGTCTATCAGCAAGTTTCTCGTGGTGAGTCATTTCGGGCCCGAACCAACTAGTCCATTCGTCTCAAAGCAAAGTCTGATGTACTTCGTGCCGGAAGAATCAATTTAGGTGTCTGTGTAAGCCATGCGTTGATTCATTTCGGGCCGGAAATGAACCAGTCCAGGCGCCTTAAAAAGACCAGCGGAAGTAAATCAGTCCAGGCGTGTCTCAGTAATGCGAACTCATGAACATGGATAGTATCTTTGCTTTTAATGTTGACATGCATGTGAACTAATGGTCACTCTTATACAAATAATAATTGTAGTGTCTGATTCATTTCCGAGCTTGATATCAACATCAGTATGAACACTACCAGTACTATTAACGTATTAATGAATATTAATGATCACAAGAAAAAACAATACGAAAGATTCACTTCCGGCCAGGAATGAACCAACGTAGCGCCACAGGGCTTATGAAGACACCTGGACTGATTCATTCCCGGCCCGCCCTGCCAGGTGGCTTAAGAAGCCGTCTGATGATTCATTGCGGGTCGGGAATGACTCAGTCCAGGTGTCTTCATAAGCTCTCTGGCTCTACGTTGATGCATTCCTGGCCGGAAATGAATCTTTAATCTTATTTTCTGTTGATTATTAACATTCATTCTTATATTAACAGTCATGGTAGCGTTAATACTAATGTTGATATCAAGGTTCGAAATGAACCAGTCCAGGTGTCTTAATAAGCCCTGCCAGGTGGCTTAAGAATCCCTGCGATGATTCATTGCGGGTCGGGAATGAAGCAATCCAAGTGTCTTCATAAGCTTTGTGGCACTACGTTGATTGATTCCTGGCCGGAAATGAATCTTTAATCTTTTGTTTTCTTTTGGTGATTAACATTCATTCTTATAAAAGTCTTGGTAGTGTTAATACTAATGTTGATATCAAGGTTCGAAATGAATCAGTCCAGGTGTCTTAATAAGCCCTGCCAGGTGGCTTAAGAAGCCCTGTGATGATTCATTGCGGGTCAGGAATGAGTCAGTCCAGGTGACCGTCCAGGTGTCTTAATAAGCCCTATGTCGCTATGGTCAAATGAATTAGTTGAATTAGTCCAGGTGTCTCAGTAAGCTCTGTGCGATTTCATGAACACGGGTACTTAATTTGACTTTGATATTGACATCAATTTGAGAAGTAATATTCATTCTTATATTACTCGTGATGCTAGTGTTAATATTGACGTTGATGTTGATATCAAGGTCGTAAATGAATCAGTCCAGGTGTCTTAATAAGCCGAGCCAGGTGTCTAGTACGCTCTGCGTTGATTCCTTTCCGGCCACGGCCGTGAGAAAGCCCTGTGGTGATTCTTTTCTGGTCGTAAACGAATCAATCCAGGATTCATTTCCGCTCCGAATTAGCTCATCGCAGGGATAATTAAGTAAGACACCTAGGCTGGTTCAACGCCGACCAGAAATGAATCAACACACGGCTCATTAAGACACCTGGACTGATTGATTTCTGACCCGAAATAATCAACGCCGGGCCTCTGAAGGCGCCTGGACTGATTCATTGCCAGCCCGAAATGAATCAAGACTGTGTTTTTAAGGCACCTGGACTGATTCATTTCCGGCCCGAAATGCATCAATGCTGAGACACCTGAGGTGATTCGTCTCCGACCCTAAATGAATCAACACTGGGATTCCGGCCTGAAAAGAATCAGCACTGTGCTTTTAAGACGACTGGACTGGTTCATTTCTGGCCCGAAATGATTCGCCGCAGGACGTATTCGACGCCTGGCAGGGCTTATGAAGACAGCTGGTCTGATTCATTCGCCGACCTGAATTTTGTGTGATTGAAATACTGTTTTTTCTATTACTACGGCTAGAAAAATCATGAAATCATCGAGCGCAAGGCTTCCCACACACCTTCTAAGACACCTGGACTGATTCATTCATCTCCGACCTTGGAATCCACAACAGTATTGCGATTACGAGTACCATTAACATCAGACTAAATATGAATTTTCACTTCAGCATTCAAAACAAACAAAAATTCTTTTGCATGTGTTCGCACTGGGCTTACTGCGACACCTGGACTGATTCATGTCCAGCTAGGAAGGAATCGCCACAGGGCATATAAGACACCTGGACTTACGACCAGAAAAGAATCACCACAGGGCTTTCTCAGACACATGACGTGTTTCATTTCCGGCCGTGGTCAGAAAGGAACCAACGCAGAGCGCACTAGACACCTGGCAGGGCTTCTTAAGACACCTGGACTGACTCATTCCCGACCTTGATATCAACATCAGTATTAACGCTACCATCACGAGTAATATAAGAATGAATATTACTTCTCAAATTCATGTCAATATTAAGCTCAAAGATAATATCCGTATGAATGGATGCCAATACTGATACTATTTCTAGTATTGTTATGTATATGTATTATTATAGTTATCTCTCGCTGGGCTTACTGAGACACCTGGACTGATCCATTTTCGGCCGGGAATGAATCACCATATTGCCATAGGGCTTATTAAGACGCCTGGACTGATTCATTCCTGACTTGCGATGAACATCACAGGGCTTCGCAAGACACCTGGACACCTGGACTGGTTCATTTCCGACCTTGATACCAACATCAGTATTGACACTACCATTACTATTCAAAAAAGAATCACCATGAATACTCCACTTGATGTCAATATTAATTTTAGACAATATCCATGTTAGAATCCATGTTCGCAGGGCTTACTGAGACACCTGAACTGACTCATTTCCGGTCAGGAATGAAACACATAGAATTGGGGAATTCTTCTTTTACATTATATAACATATACTCTTATGTGAATACATTCTGAAGGAAATGTAAAACTCACTATAGTCGCATGATATATTATATATTATATATTATATCATATATCTTATATACTCTATGCTAGCATTAGTATATAATAAATAACATATTAAACACGAATTTTTATTAGCTAATATATCTTGTGAAGAAAGGCGCTAAGCAAAATGAACCCTAAAAATCCCTGCCACATATATATATACACACATATATACTTGTATAGATAGGTAACCAGTACGAAAAACAATAAAAAAATGTACAATGTGTTTTGGTTTCGAATACGGAGATGGCCAGGTGCAGTGCACCTTGTGGGTTCGGCAGCTTTGGCCAGCTCGAGCCTCAGCATCCCTTTGGCAAGTCCCAGAGAGGCCACGTTAGTGAGCTTGGGTTTAGGGTTTAGGGTTTAGGGTTTCGGGTTTGGGGTTTGGGGTTTAGGGTTTGGGGTTTAGTATTTAGGGTTTAGGGTTTCCTGAAGCACAAAAAGGCTTAGGGTTTGGGGTTCAGCATCTCAAGTCCAGGCATAGCACTGTGTTCATGAGCCGGAATTAGACCCACCCACCCAGAGTCCAGAGAATCCCATAACGTTAAGACATATGAAGTTCACTCTGTCATTCCCAGTAGGACCTTCAAAGCCAAAAGCCCATGCAGTAGGCCCTAAGCCCCAAACCCAAGGCCCACCATAGACCCCACACCCAAGGCCCATAGTCGACCCCCTAAACCCTCCTGCCTAAACCCTAGGCCCCAAACCTAAGGCTAGACCTTGCCTTCCCAGGGTCAGCCCCCTGCCCAAACCCACCCTCTATCGCACTGTGAGGCGAAACCCGCCCCCTGAACCCTATGCCCCAAACCCTGAAGGCCCTAAGCCCTGCCCCAAACCTTTCTGCCCCAACCCCTGCGGCCCTGAACCCTACTCAATCCTATGCCCCAAACTTTAGGGCCCAGGGCCCTAAACCTCATGCCAAACCATTCGCGGGGCAATTGCAAAAAGCAGCTGCCCACGAACTTGTTCACTGTTGCCAATGAACTTTTCGCAGTTGGACACCAAGAAAAAGCAATTGTACACGAATGCCATTGGGATTGCTCTCTCTCTCTCTCTATCTCTATATATATATATACACATATACATAGTAAGAGAGGGCTCCAAGTAGGAGGTTCTTACAAGGACTATGGCTACAGATTTCATGTAGGGTACTTCAAACCTTACTTCTCCATGAGCCTCCAAGTAGACCGTAGGTGGCATGAAGAACCCAGAATTTCAGGTCTATTCCTGAGTTTCATGGCGCTCTTGGGGTTTCGGGTTTTTTTTGGGCTGGTATGAAGCTTCTGTTCTTCCCGGCGCTCGGGATGCTCTGTGTATGTTGGAATCATAAAATGATAGAAAGGGGTATTAGCTGAATGATAAACAAATCGAATCCTCGCTGATATCAGAATCTAGCGCTCGGATTGCCGCTCTTCAGAGATAGCGCTGCAGAATGATACCAGAATAGCACCATGAGGTGATTAGAGCTTGATATGTAAACCCCCGAAGCCCCCCCCCCCCCCCCCCCCCTTTGAAGAACCCTGCACCCCCAAGTCTCCCTTAGAGATTAAGCCCAACATCTACATCCGACGTTGTGTAAAACTACCCTGGAAGTGATTATGACTATACCAGCAGACCCGAATTCCCCTCAGCAAGGGTGGCATTGCGAGCGGGCCACCTTCCAGAACTGGCACAGCGGCATCATCTCCTTGACCATCCTGGGCAGCCCCTGGGGCATGACGAGGCAGAGACACCCGGCAAGTGGACTGAATTTTCAGGTTCTGGAATCTAGTGGCAAGCAGTTCCGCTTACAAAAAGGTATGTAGAACAGCCCCCTTCTCCGCAATTGGGTGTAAGGTTTGGGGCGAACAGCCCCAGAAGTAGGCTTGCATTCTAGGTTTATTCTTGGGCTCCTTCGCAGCAGCTGTCAGGAGACGATTGACTGCCGTGACGCCGAACCCGGTGGCCTGACAGAACTTAGGTTATCATCATGGTCATACCGGGATCATGGTCATACCGGGTGGTGTCGATGCATGAGAGGCGTCGCGAAGCTAGTCTCATAGGCAGGGTTACGCTGTATCGGACAATGGACAGGTTCCTTTGGAGATCCACTACTACTTCTACTACTACTACGACGACGACGACTACTACTACTACTACTACTGCTACTGCTAGTACGACTACCACAACAACAACAACAACAACTACTACTACTACTACTACTACTACTACTACTACTACTACTACTACTACTACTACTACTACTACTACTACTACTACTACTGCTGCTGCTGCTGCTGCTGCTGCTGCTGCTGCTGCTGCTGCTGCTACTGCTACTGCTACTGCTACTGCTACTACTACTACTACTACTACTACTACTACTACTACTACTACTACTACTACTACTACTACTACTACTACTACTACGACTACGACTACCACTACCACTACCACTACCACTACTACCACTACCACTGCCTCTACCATTACTACAGGTTCCTTTGGAGATCCAGCTCGCAGACCCGCTGCATCGCCCAGCAATGCGCATCCGAGCCACCCGCCAAGATGCACGACTTCTGAGTCGACTCAGTGCCAGCCTCACTCGCTGAACTTTTAAAAAGGAGGGACCCCTATAGAAGGGACCCTGAACGTTATTTCCTTAGTTAACGCTTGAGAGCCCTTATATCGTCCCTATGTACCCAAAAAGAGCCCCTAAGATCCCCAATAAGGGTCCCTCCTTCAGTCCCTTGAGAACTTCATCGACGCCTGATGGCCCGTGCCGGCGGTAGGACGAACAGACAAGGTCACGATGACGTCGTTGTCGTACCAGAATTCTTTGGTGGTGCAGACGACTGGGACGCGTACTACAAGCTCCTCCGTGAGATCCGCGTGACTCGGCCGTAGAGAGTAGGCGCCCAAAACAACCGAAAAGCTGGCTCTGACAGTTTCCCATGCCGACGAGGGTATGAGAAGCCTCTCCCCCTAAACCCTAAACCCTAAACCCTAAACCCTCGAAACCCGAGGAAGGGCAGGCCATGGGCATCGATCAATCGCAGTGGGAGTCCTGGCATGAAGGCTCGGGGCAGAAAGGGAGGACATGTCAGGCATGCAAGCGTATGAACGTTGTATGTATACATACATACCTATATTATACATATATGTATACATATATATATATATATATGTATACAAGCTATAAGGGGTGTTATGTACAAGCCGACACACGTGCTGTTGTGGTCAGGTGCGCATCTCCTGACCAAGAACCCTGGCTGCTCGAGGACCTTCAGCGACGTCGCCTGGTGGAAGTGTAGCCAGGGTCCGATGCTTTCGCGCGCAGGGTTTTGAGGGTTTTGAGTTCTTGGAAACTCAGGGTTTTTGCTGGTTTTGAGTTTTTTGGAAACTCAGAAGCTCTCAACTGCATTCCGCTTCCCAAACCCAGCCACATGCCGGCCCAAAGATGTTTCGTCAGGCTGATAGGCAGCTTGAAGCCCAGGCTTCGGCTCTGTTTTTTCTTGCAGTTCGGCTCGGTCCAAGTAGGGTGAGTGGTGGCAGAGGCCCCCCAAAACTGCCCAGACCATTAAAGGAGATATGGGGGCTGGGATTTTTGGGATCCAGGGCTGTTAGGAATTCTCCCCCTTAATACTAACAGTCCTTCATAGGGAGTATTATAGGGGGGGTACGATCATCAGGGACTTGTCGTAGAAGGGGGAGCATTCCAACCTAGCATGCGAGGTGCTGGACAAAATCTGTGAGCAGTTCAGCATCGCGAATGGTCATCTGCGCGGCTCGGTGGGTCGAGACGTGTTGGGGATGCGCGGCTCGACTCACTGAAGCGCTCCTTCCGTCTGGGGCTCTATACGGTTTAGGGTTTAGGGTTTAGGTTTAGGGCTACCCCCCCCCCCCCCCTAAGTTCCCCCCCCTTAAATAACCCTTACAACCCTGAACCCTATAGACTTCGCTGTGTGCTGAGGCTTCAACTGGTACAGGGATGGCTCCGACTGGAAGCCCTTCCACCACGACTCGGCAGCCTTCAACCCGCGGATGGCTGAGAAACAGAACTGCCACCTTGGCCTGTTTGGAGTGTACTCAGAGGTTCATGGGTCAGTAGAAGTAGAGTTTTGAGCACCCTAGGGTTATAACCATAGCTACCCCACTGAAAAAACCCTGCTTCTGAGTCCCCGAATGAACCTCCAAGTAAGGCTGGGTTGCCCAGTAGCAAAGCTTTGTCGTGACAGGCCGGCAGGTATGGTAAGACGAGCTCCCTAAACCCGAAACCCAAAGCCCTAAACTTCAGGATCTGCTTCAGGAATCCATAGATTGTGTTCTCGGGAGGATCTTGAGGTTCTTTCTTTCAGATGAAACCTGCAAGATCGTCGCCATATGGGGATATCGACAGCACCCACATGTCACTCTGATGTCTCATAAACTCTACTGGCCTTCCCTTGCTCCTGTAAAGCATACCTGCGTCGACTCTCCTCCCCGCCCTTCCCGCCTTCAGCCACAACCTACAAAGCTTTCAGTCTTGCACGCCGAAACCCCAACCCCAAACCCCAAACCCTAAACAAATCGCGGGCTATGTCAGGCACTGTGGGTGTGAGCCTTGGATCCACAAGAGAGCTGGCCTTCCGCAGCACTGCCAGTGGCGATCTGATCTACTTTCCCCAGCACCCTGGACGCACCCCTAAACCTTAAACCCTAAACCCAAAACCCTAAATCCCAAACCCTAACCCAGCACCGTCGTAAGGATCCTGGTGCCATCCCCATGCCCCATGACATGAGAGAAAGGAGCAATGGCATGCTCTTCTTCTTTGGCCGGGATGTGAACATTCGATGGCAGCCCCTCGCAGCAAGCGACAAGGTTTGGGTGTTCTGCCATACCTCCGTTGATTGGGTATTGCTAGGCTTCGCTCGTCCCCCATCTGGTGCTGTTTGAGTTTACATCAGCATGGGCACTCCTGGGGTGACCTCTACTTTCGCTGTCGCTAGCCCACATCTTAAGTACAGGCTGGCTGCAGGAGAACCTTGTTGCCAAATCTGCTTCGATCGGGTCGGCGGCAGGTTCGAAGCCAGAGTGGGTCGAGCACATTCGCGCACCCTCTGAGACAACTTTGCCTGTTTGAGGCATGGCGTGAACGCCCTGCCGCTGGAGCAGCAGAGCTGCAAGGGGCGGATCTCCATCATCTTGCGCCCAGCCAAAACAAGGTTGAGACGGTTTTGGGTGACTGATCTAAACCCCTAAGCCCTGAACCCTAAACCCTAAACCCTGGAATCCCTAGGACTGCAACCAAACCCAATCTGTGCACCCGTGCACACACACAGACTCATACATGTATATGTATGTATGTATGTGTGTATGTATGTATGTATGTATGTACGTATGTATATATGTATGTATGTATGTATATATGTATATATGTATATATGTATATATGTATATATGTATATATGTATATATGTATATATGTATATATGTATATATGTATATATGTATATATGTATTTATGTATTTATGTATTTTATGTATTTATGTATTTGTGTATATATGTATATATATGTATATATATGTATATATGTATATATGTATATATGTATATCTTTATAGATTCATATATGTATATATATATATGTGTATATATATATGTATATATGTATATGTGTATATATGTATATATGTATATCTTTATAGATTCATATATGTATATATATATATATATATATATGTATATATGTATACATATATATATATATATATATGTATACATGTATACATGTATATATATGTATACATGTATATATGTATACATGTATACATGTATATATGTATATATGTATATATGTATATATGTATATATGTATATATGTATATATGTATATATGTATATATGTATATATGTATATATGTATATATGTATATATACATGTATGTATATATACATGTATAATATATATATATTCCATTTAATTTATAATTGTATTTATTTGTATTTATATTTATAGATACACACAAAAATAAACAGTTGCCAGGAAAGAAGGGGACTCAGCCAGCACATGCAACCTTGTCCGAGGTGGGGTCTCTGTCAGCTGGCCGTCGAGGAAATGCTCTCACCTCCCATGCTCCCGAGTCGCGAGGAGAAGTTCGCCCAGCGATCTTCTCAACCTGACGGCAAGGCCCACAGTAACATCGTGTCATCTTGTCTTGACTTCACTGAACGTGCTTGAGGCTGCATAAGTCCTTGCTGCACTCCATTCTTCGAGAGCTTTAGACCGGAAGTGTTGGCGGTTTTTGGCATGAAGAGCGCTCCTGACCAGGGCAAGGGCAAAGGCAAGGGCAAAGAAACGCGGACGCAGGCTTGCAGGACTCTTGGCTGTCTAGTCCACTTGCCCTCGAATGCACATGCAGTTCCCGTTCGATCAGTTGCCAAGGGACTTTCAGAACGGCAGATGCACCTACGGCATCCACTGCAAGTACTCGCATGAGAGCGGCTGAGACTGGGGCAATCCATGCGCGAACCTTTGTGCATAAGGCACCTTAGCAGAGCTTAGCACAATTATTTCGAAAACATGATGAGCTTCTGCTGGCTTTGTAGGACTGTCATATCTCTGGCTTTTGATTACGCTTGTCTCTCTGCCTCTGTCTCTGTCTCTGTCCCCTGTCCTTGTCTCTGTCTCTGTTTGTGTGTGTGTGTGTGTGTCTCTGTGTCTGTGTGTGTCTGTGTGTCTGTGTGTTTGTTTGCTCGAATGCTGGGCTATGCTCACTGCAGCACAGACACCGCAAAGCGTCAAAGTCAAATGTTTGTTTGTTTGTGTGCGCGTGTGCATGGGTCTCTGACATCGAGAAAGTTCCATCGCAGTGACCCAGTTTTTCCCCACCCTTCAGCAGCAGAAAGCTCCAGTGCATGGTTCACAGTGTGCTCACCTCAAGAAGATTGGCTGCCGAGGCTCTGCTTTCTTGTTGCGTTGGCTTTCGCCGGCCGGTGTGAGATGCGCACACGCAGTCACATCATGTCGGAAGTACATTTTGTTCGTGCATCGCCTGCGTTGTTAACGTGTCACCTGCATGTGCAGGTGCCCTCGGGGGTTAGAGCTTGCAGCAGCAGCTGAGAGCGTGAACAAAGCGAAGTGCGGACCGCTTCGTGCAGTTAAGCTTGCAATACTATATAGGGATTGGGACGTTCCCCCTTATACTATACTAATGTTCCTTAATAGGGATTATAGTACCCCACCCATTAAGGGCTGTTAGTATAAGGGGGAGCATCCCAACATATGACCTACTGAATAAGCTACCGGAACCTTTACGGACACTTTTTTTTGGCAGTCTCTGGAGTATCATCGGGGAACATGTGTTGAAAAAAGGTTCCTTGCTGGCAAATACACACATGTTTGCCCGCTGTTCTGGTAAGGTGCGATTCCTTAAACCCTAAACCCTACATCCTAAACCCTAAATGCTCAGACTCAGAGATAGCGCCGAGTAAACCCTAAATGCTTTGAAGAGTTCATCTTCTCATGTTTTTAGTGCAAACCCTGGGGTACGGCTGCTAGAGCTCGTGCGAGGCTTGCTAGTAATTTCATTGGCAGTTGCCATTAGACGATAGCACCTTTAGGAATCCTTTTTATTTTGCTTTTCTACAAACCCGAGGGAAGAGTAAACAATATTGTTTGTATTTAGGTTCGAAGGGGAGTATAGGTATAGTAGATTGTGGAGGTCAGCGATTGGACAACCCAAGCATCGAGATGTGCAGATTGTGATGACCGCAAACTGCCCCACAGCGCGCCTTTATAGCCCCCAGAGGCCCCCTAAACCCTAAACCCCAAACCCTAAACCCTAAACCCCAAACCCCTTTTCCTAAACCCTAAACCCTTCAACCAAAAAACCCTTCAACCACAGCTCCGAGGTTGGAATCTGGCATCCTTGCTCCTGGGAAGTGAGGAGGAGGTGGGAGTTTTGGGCAATCACGCGCTCTGAAGATGAGTGTGGGGGGGGGGGGGGGGGGCGCCCTACAGATGCCCATGATGCTTTCTGCAGCTCCGTCCGTAGAGGCTGCTTCAAGTACTTTTTTTTGTGTGTGTGTGGGTGTGTTTTGCCAGAGTTCAGGGTTTGTCGAATATGGAGGTTTGGTTCTAGGTTACGCCCACAAGGCTCATCAGGGAAGGGAGCCCCCCGAGCCAAGTCGCTTCGCAGGGCTTGCGAGATCTCGTGCAGTGCAATGCGGTGATTGCAGCCGTCGCTTCCAGCGACGTGAAAGAGCCCTGGGCCTGGTGCCCAGTCTTCTCCGATTGCTTTGCAGGGACTTGGGGAACCAGGCTCTCTCGCTCTCTCTCACTTGCTTTCTTTCTTTTCTTTTCTTTTCTTTTCCTTTCTTTCTTTCTAAACTTTTGATAAAATTCTCAGGTCGGTGTCAGGAGTTCTCTTCTTGGAGAGCTTATTAGGGCTTTTAAGGGTTTTCCTTTCTTTCTTTCCTTACAGTCCCGTGCTTCAAGCAGCCACCGTAGGCTCCCCATTCCGTGTTCCACTTCGGAGACGGCTCCCTAAACCTGGGATGTTCCCCCTTATAGAACCAGTCGTTTAGGGAAACTATTGTAAGGAGTACTATAATCTCTATTAAGGGCTGTTAGTATAAGGGGGAACATCCCTAAACCCGCAAAAAGTTGAACCTGGGGGGCAAAGACTCCAGAAAACTTGGAGCAGAAGAGTCGATGTGGGCCCCAAGAGGAAGATCGTCCCGCTGCAAGCGAAGAAACAGGTATGTAGCTTCCAAGTCGCCCTTTATGTTTATAAAGCTTCGGCCTTAAAGAGTACGAACACGAAACCCTTTAGGTCTTTGCAAGGCTTGAAAGTTGGGTTGATAGCAGAAAACCCTGCGGCGATGGGTCCGAGAAAGTTCCGCGAAAGTATTTTTGTGCGTAGTCATTTTTTGGGACATGATATCTTTATCCCCCTGGGGAACTAATTGTATTACGGTTCTAAGGGGAGTATAGATATGTTCGCTTGCTTCGTCTGGGAGTGCTCCTTCCCCTCAAGCTGACCATGGTTTTTCCAAATGCCGTGCTGCGCGACCTCCGTAATCGCACAGCCTTCGCGCCACCAGCCGCGGACATCTCGGTGCTTTGTGCGTGAATCAATACAAGACAGCACCAGGGCCTGCCAGGGAAGCCGCCCCAACACCAACTGAGTCCCTTAGCAGCCTTAGCAGCAGCAAACCCCAATCCCGGTTGACAAGCAGGTGATGGCTTTGACACGCTCGTGATGGGATTGTCGTACAGACTGTGTTCTTGCCTAGTTGCTTGGAGATTAAGAGTCCGGGGCTTTGAAATACACAGTACTCCTCAGCTGGACTCCGTATACTGTCTCGACCTTGACCTTGCCGGCCGAGTGCGAGAGTGAGCCTCGAAACTGCAAACAAAACCCCCGAAACCCTAAACTTCCTAAACCCCAAACCCAAAACCCTAAACCCTAAACTTCCTAAACACCGAAGCGCGTGGCTAGGCGGGCGGTGTAAAAATCCTAAAACCTTGGGATGTTCCCCCTTCTACTATCAGTCCTTCATAGGGATTGCAATAGGGGGGGGGGGGGTACTAGAATCCGTATTAAGGAGGATATGCGCAAACCTAAAGCTTTAAGTGCCAGAAGGCCTCGGCGCTGGCCCTGCTTCAGCTGGAGCGAGAAGTTGCCCTGCAGGCATTTGCATTTCGGTCTCGGTTCGGGGGGGGGGGGGGGGGGGGGGGGGCATCTTCTGAAGTTGTTTAGAGTTTAGAGCTTATGTGCTGGGGCATCTTCTGAAGTTGTTTAGAGTTTAGAGCTTATGTGCTCTTGGGAAGACTTGTTGCGTCGATACGACCATGAAGGCTGACCTCGTTGTCCCTGCGGAGTATCGACCCAGCCTAATTCTACCTCTTGAACCGCAAAAGTGAGCGGCAAGCCCTGTAATTTTGTGCAGGCGAAGTCTTTTCAAGAGCGACCATGAAGCAAGTGCAAGTTCAGACCGAGCGATGCAGACGGCCTCATGGGCTGGGGAGCCTTCAAAGCCCTAGAAAACCCGAAGACCTGGTAGGTGGATGCCGTGGGCATTAACTCGGCGATCAGCGGCGGCCTTGTTGGCTTGTGGGCAAGCTTGTGGTGTCACGGTGCTCTTGCTGCTGCTAGGGCACTGCAGCAGATCGCTGTAAGTAGGGTCCAGCAAGAGCGGTTCTTTCTTCGCTGTCACATCTGGACGCATGCTAGGTGCCTGTGCACAGATCGACGATCGCATCGCGGCCTGGCCGCTACACCCCCAGTCAGGAGAACATGAGCCGGCCATACCTAAGTACTGGCAGCACATCTTCTAGAGAGGCCACCTAATCATGCCCGTGGACCGCGCAACCCTTGGCGAGAAGGCTTCTTTTTGAATGAAGATTTGTTGACGAGGCAGGCCCTTTCCTTCTGCGACTTGTCCGTGCCGTTCCGCCCACGCCCGAGTGAGTGGGGTGGGACTCCGTTGCGCGCTTGGGAAGTAGCATGAATGCCATTGAAACTTATCGTTTCGTGTACCCTGTGCCGTTGTCAAAACATAATCCGTTCCCCCTAATATTAAAGGCCCCCCCCCCCCCCCTCCCTTGCAAAAAAACCCCCAAAGGGTTTTTTGTATTAGGGGGGGTTCTTATCGTTTGTCCGAAAAACCAGCCCGTCCTTATTGCAGCACGCTGGCTCAGCAGCCCAGCCTAAGCCTAGACAGCTACGTTTGGAAAAGGTTCATGTTTCTGCTTCCGGCTTCCAACCCTCCCCCCCCCTAACTCCCCCCTCTCTCTGTAGAGATTTTAATAGGGACAGGCACGGGATCGGGATTTTGGGCCAGGGGGTTCTTTTTATTAGGGGGGTATTAATATTAGGGGGAACGGATTACTTCTGAATGTTGGTCGTAGTCGAAATTCATTCGGAGCCAATAGACATCACAGTTTTGCCAGGATCAAGGGGCTATATATAGGGGTTCTATAAGGGTTATATAGGGGAGAAAGAATAAGGGTCCCTTCTAGGGTCCCTCCTTATACCCCTGAACAGGAGTACCAGGCTGTTGAACAAGCTTTGGTCATCACTGAGGTTCGGCTCTGTGTCCGGCCCGGCGGAAAATATGTAGACACAAGGGTCTCTTCAGGCCACATCGGGATTTGGATTGCATAATAATGATCATAACAATAAAAGGGACTATAAAAGGGGGTACTAGAACCCCTAGTGCAAAAAGGAAAAAATGAGGGATGATAAGGAACTTGGGGATGTTGTGGGCCGAGGTGTGCAACCAGACGTCATCGGTGTTCCTGGCGCGCATTCCGCTTTGGGCTTGGGGCCGGGTTGATTGGTTGGGACTGCAGAAAAGGCTTCTAGATTGAGAGTTGGGGCATGCCCAGAAGCCTAGGTGGAAAGAAAGGGGTGTGCATGTGCGGCAGTGCACTCTCATGAGCTGGCGTTGCCTTCTTCGTGCTCGAGGCTCACTCACTCTTGCGTACCATGGTTTCCGC